ATGATATTGTTGAGATGTTGAGTGTTTCCGCGTGCGTGTATTGAAATAAGGACAAACACATACATAGGGAAAAATACTGGTATATCTGAGAGATTAGTAGTCAAATGAACGCAGATTAGTAACAATCAGAAAGAGTATAAAGTCCAACTGTATCTTCCGGTAGAAAGACGAAAGTGTGATGGTCACCTGATCTTCCAGAACTCTATAGAACTGTCCTATTAGTAGTAGAGAGATCAGTCCATTCTGATGAGAAGGTGGGTGTGCCCCAACAGATATTGTATTTAAATTTTTGAAAATCAAAGTTGACTAGGAAGAAAAAAAGCTGGAAGAGAGTTCCACAAGTGAGAAGTGGTAGAGAAAAAAAACTGCTAACATATAACTTACATCTAGCGGCCATTTTAACTGTAAAATGCTGAGACCTTGCCACCAATCTAGTATTGCGCTTAAATTCATAAAGTCTAGGTACCATAGAAGAAATTTCATCAGAACAATTTTCATGAAAGTGTATTTATAGAAAAAGCATAGAAAAGCTGTTACAACAGTAGGAAAGTGACTGAAGCCAAGATGCGGGCTCAGGACCAATAACTGCAGACTCTTCTTTGTAATTAAGAATCTCTAAATATATAGCAGAAGTGCTATATTCTATTATTACAATGTTTCAGTCATTGTACCCTCTGGCCTTCTTCAGGTATCTGTTGATCTTGGTAACTTTTAGGGAATTTTAAACTGAACACTTTATTTAATCCTTAGTGATAGTGTTCTCATCTTGTTCTTTTTAATCTTGATCAGTTATTGTTATTTATTTACATTCAGACTAATATCTTCATCTTTGTTGTTATTATTTTTTTCCTTTTTTTTTTTAATTGATATCATCTCATGCAAGGTAGTAAAGCCACTAAGAATAAGGGGTCATGGGGTGTGGAAGAATTAGGAACAGAAACATTAATAATGAGCGGGAAGAGGAAAGAGCAATCAGGAGGACATTAGATAGCGATTGACATTGCATTTAAATTTTTGCAGATTGAAGTTGGTTGGAAAGCATAGAGCCAGAAGGGAGTTTCACAAGTGAGAAGTGTGAGAAAAGAAACTGTTAGCATTGAACTTATGGCTAAATCTAGCCAGCTCAACTGTAAATCAATAACTGAGGAGTATTAAAAAAAACAGGACAAAATATCCCTTGACAAGAACAGTGGAATGTGAATAATCTATCCTTGTAAATTAAATAAAGTGTGAAGTTCGAAATTGCATGAGGTTACCCAGATCAACTGGCACCTGAAGAAGGCCAAAGAACATAACAACCAAAAACATTGTTATAACAACAACAAATAATAAAAAATAAAGATACCATCTCATTCCAGAAATTCAGACAGAAATTAACAGTGTTTTTCTCAAGAAGTGTGGAAATTATGCTTTTGTCATGAATTTTCATAAAATATCCACTGCTTTTTTTTTCCTTTTTGTTCTATTTTCTCATCTTTCTTGTTGTTATAACATGTTGTTTGTTTTACCCTTCGGTCTTCATCAGGTGTTTGTTGATCTAGGTAACCTTCAGAGGACTTCAAAGTGAACCCTTTATTTGAAATGAGAACAGTCTACAGGGGTAGATTGTTCTCATTTCACTGCTCATGTCTAGGGATATCTCATCTAGTTCTTATTTTTAGTACTGCTCAATTATTGTTTGCACTTTTTCTACTGAACCCAAGTACACATTGCCCACCTCAGGGATTCAATTCACATTTACCATGTCACCAAATTCATGAATCAACACTTTAATTCTATTAGCTTATTAGATGAGAGCATTAGATTTGATGACATAGCAATTGTGAGTTCAATCTCTGGGTTGTGAAGTGCAGAGGAACTTTCTTTTTCTGAAAGGTTTTATCATATATTCAATAATAATAATAATTCAATAACCCAAGTTTCCTTAAAATTTTAGCTCTTTTTGCCAAATCTAACTTACTGGCTAATGGTAATATCATGGATTGCAGATTCTAAATTTTAGGTAACCTATCTCTAAAATGCTGGATGCCTTGCACTAATGGGTTAAACAGTTTCAGCATCCTACCTTAGTAGGCATTAATTAAACCAAAGAAGGTATGAAATTTATTAATTATTAAATCCAGAACATGGTCCCAAAATGTTGGGCCTGTAGTATATATATATAAGAAAAAGAAGTTGAAAATATAACTGGAGTCTTAAGAATATTTATTTAGAGTAACCTTACTGGTTTCACAGTCCTATGATTTTCAAATGTTAAGTTGAGATGGAAAGAAGTGTGGCTATGCCATGATATGTCATGCATCTAACTGGAGTTTGAGAATTCTTTCTGTTTTATGCAAATAAAGTGGCTCTGATTGCTATCTGTTTAAAATGCAATCTGATTTGTTGATTATGATCACATGATTAGGCACAGTAATTTTTGCAGCAAAAATTGATGATCATAAAATTTTGTTGTCAAACATTGGGAGTGTCATGATTCAGTGATCATGGCTAATGTGAATAATAGTTCAAGTGTCAGGAATTCTATTTTATTGGACCTTAATGGCACATGGTGAGTCATATGTCAATCTTCTTTTGCTTAAACATTCAAGTCAAATGATTGCATAATATTAATAGATCATTAGGGTTACATGCTAGGTCCATTATATCATTTCTCATAGTAATGGAGGTTATGTTGTAGTGCCCATCTAACATGTAAAACATGTGTAATATGTGACAGGTTGCATTGGGTTGCATGATACCAGCAGTAAGGAGCAATTCCCCTGACCTACAGAGAAAAAAGAGAAGTGTTGAATTTTTCTTTGAATTGGGAAATTTTATTTCTTAAGTATTTATTACTTAAATGATAGCAAAAGAGATTCCCTCCAACAATTTATGAACTTGGATATAAAACATTATATTTGATATAGTAATATTTTTGTAAAATAATAAATCGATAGAAGCTAAGTAACTTTTGAGCCTTTACCGTCCCACTTTGTCCATGTTCTGCCATCCATTAATTTCAACTTCTTTATGTGCCATATCCCTTCAGGACATGAGAAATCATGGCTCTCCACAACATCTTGTCTCTTGTTATTTTAATTAACTTTTGACCTTTACCATTCCTCTTTGTCCTGCCATCCATTCATTTCTACTTCTTTATGAGCCATGTCCAGTCATGGCTCTCCACAACTTCTTGTTGCTCTAAATAACTTAACCATTTACCATTCCTCTTTGTCCTTGTTCTGCCATCCATTCATTTCTACTTTATGTACCATGTCCAATCATGGCTCTCCACAACATCTTGTCTCTTATTGTCCTAAGGAACTTTTAACCTTTTACTATACCTTTTTGTCTTTGTCCTACCATCCATTTATAATTCTTTATGTTCCATGTCCAGTCATGGCTCTCCACAACATCTTGACTCTTATTGTCCTAAGGAACTTTTAACCTTTTACTATACCTTTTTGTCTTTGTCCTACCATCCATTTATAATTCTTTATGTTCCATGTCCAGTCATGGCTCTCCACAACATCTTGTCTCTTATTGTCCTAAGGAACTTTTAACCTTTTACTATACCTTTTTGTCTTTGTCCTACCATCCATTTATAATTCTTTATGTTCCATGTCCAGCACATCACTGCCATTTAGGAGGACTGATATTACATAATTCAGTAATTCTTTTCTTTGGTTCTAACAAAATATTCCTGTTTCTTGATATTTTGCTTAGCTTTTGAATGGCATCTTTTGCTGTCTCAATGTACCTTGACATAAATCTGATTTTAATGAAGGCTTGTAAAATGTTGTTACTTTATATTTGTCAAATAAAAATTGAATTCTTAGGTATAAGTCATAGTTGCTTCAATAATCTATAGTTTTATGCAAAGCAGTGAAGATTTAGCTATTTTGTACATCTAGAGTTGTTAAGAGTTGGGCATTTTGGGTTTTGACATGAAGAGAATTGTTAATATTTGGTAGCAGTGAGAAATTTCAAATGAGGTTGGGTGTTCTCTTATCAGCTGTCAAAGGCAAGATGCTTTGCATCAGGATCCATTTTCAGTTTTAAAGCAAATTTCACTGAGAAGTATTATTTCTGCTTTCATAAGAAGAATTAGATAATTTTATATTTCGATTATTACTTTAATTTCGTATTTTAAAACATTATCAAATAAAGTGGAATTAACTGGCATGAATATTAAAGCCCGCTTTTAGCTTTTTAGGTAATACATTCCATTATGATATTGTTTTTTTTTTGTTTATCCTTTCAACTTTTATGCAGAATTTGACAGCAAAAACATGTTAGCTAATAAAACTAACAAGAAATAAACATAAATTTTTAGTTTGTAGAAAAGATTAACCCTTTATTAAATGAATAAATATAATAAAGTTCATTCAATGATTTATAGATATTTGCTTGACCCATTAATGCCCACTGTACAATTATTATTATTTTTTTATGGCTTATCAACCTTTTGCAAGTTATTTAAAGCCAGAAAATATTTTTAGATTGTAAGAAATTTTTCAAGATACTAATGAATTTTAATGATAGAAGTTCTACTAATAGCTGTGGAAAGAAGTGAATTCATATTTTTCCCAAGGGTATTTCTGCATAACTGAACATAATAATTCTGACTGGAACTGGAACTCGCACTTGCACATCCAAACTTACAGTAACTTGAATTCCCAAGCAACCACCCATCTAAGTAATGATCAGATGCAATGTTGCTTAACTTTGGTGATAGTACAAGAACTGGTGTTTCAATGTGATATGGTTGTAAGCCACTAGACTATGAAATTAAATTTTAAAAATATTAGTAATGACATTACACTCTGTTACCATTTTATCCTGACTTTGTTTGTTTTCCATTTTAATGCCAGAAAATATTTTTAATGATACAAGTTTTACTAATTAACCCATAGCTATGGGAGAAGAGGTGGATTCATGCTTTTCCCAAGGGGATTTGAGCGTAAGTTAATATAACGAACCTGACTGGAATTGGAACTTGTACCCACACCTCCAAGCTTACAGTACCTGGTATTCCAAAGCAGTCACCCATCTAAGTACTGACCAAACTCAACATTGTTTAACTTTGGTCATTGTACGAGAACTAGTGTTTCATCATGATATGGCTGTAAGCCATGATCAATGGCAGATGATAAGTGACAGTGTCAACTGCAACAGCATAGATCAATCAATTGTAGTTAGCTCAATGCTATTTGTTGGTAGGTGTTGTGACCACTGGTACTGAAACTGAATTGTACTTACAATATTTACATTATTTGGACTATTGTCCTCATCTTTGTCAACCTATTTATTACGTTTCAGCCGTTGTACGCTCCAGCCTTCTTCAGGTGGTTGGAATGTCAAACTGAACCTTTTATTTTGCTCACTGGGGTAGACTGTTCTAGTTCCATGTGCCATGTTTAATGGATGTCAGTTATCAGTTATCTCCTGTTAATTTCCCTCTCCAAGTTCTCCGCTGCCTTATATAGACAAATACTGAATTGTACTTACAATATGAGTACTGTGAGCAGTAGATTTAATTCATCAAACCACATCACTTGTTGGGTGTGTTAAGACAAAGGAAAAGTGATATGACTGTAAGATACTAATCTATGAAATTAAATTAAAAGAAATATTTGTAATGGAACATTTTAACATTTTGAACTATGTTCACTGAAGTTAAGCAACATTGAGCCTGGTCAGTATCTAGATGAATGACTGCTTTGGTGAATATCCAAGAACCAGTATTCCAATGTGATATGGCTGTAAGCCTGGTTATAGATAATTAATACCAGATTTTACAAGCATGAGTTAAATGTTACCTTTAGCAACCTCTGAAAATGTGAAGTATCTTGCTATTTATAAAATTTATCATTATTTTCAATGACTAATTATGACTAAACTTACGCTATACCTTATGGAGAAAAGTGCACACTTATCAAGGATTCTCTTTTCTGCTTATTCTTCTAATTTTCTTTAGAAAATAACTCTGTAATTAGCAGTTAATAAACCTTGAGTTAGCTACATTAAACCTCCTTTTTTCCCACTTATTTTATTCATGATTATTCAAATTGGTGGTGTAACTGAACTGAAAATTGCTTTATTCTCAGAACAATTTAATGGTGTGACTTATTTTTGTGGAGTTACACTCACAGATTAGTATAATTAGACTTGTTCATATGAGAAGAGGCAGTGAGTTTAAAATTAGGTTAAAATGAAAAACAGAAACAAATTCAGGATGAAATGGTAAACTGTGCCATAAACAGAGTGTAATACCATTACTAATATTTTTTTAATTTAATTTCATAGATGAGTTGCTTACAGTCATATCACATTGAAAAAACAGTTCTCACATGATGACCAAAGTTAAGCAATGTCAAGTCTAGTCAGTACCTAGATAGATGACAGCTTGTGAATACCAGGTGCTGTAAGACTGGATGTGTGCATGGTGTAATGGATAATGACTTGGAATTGGAAATCAGAAAACTAAGTTCCAATTGGTTTCATTATATTCACTTACATACAAATACTCTTGTGAAAGGCATGAATCTAACTCTTCTCCCTTCCAGCTATGGCTTCGTTAGTAGGACTTGTATCAATAAATCATTATCCCCAAAGAACTCTTATATTCTAAAAGTATTTTCTGCAAAAAAAAACAAAAAAAAAAACCCAAATCAATCAATTTCAAACTGTTGAAACAGTTAATTAGTATTAAACAGTTAATTAATTAGTAGGACTTGTATCAATAAATCATTATCTCCAAAGAATTCTTATAATCTAAAAGTATTTTCTGCAAAAAACAATCAATTTCAAACTGTTGAAACTGTATAATGAAACTTGTGCAGAGAAATTTACCTTATGAAGCAGCTAATTGGTATGACTATTAAAGTGGTCTTTAAGTTCTTGGTCAAGATTTTTAGAGGAGAAAACATTGTGATGTTCTTGTAAGTATTGGATTGTTAAATAAATTTGTTCATTATTTTCCAATGTTACTTGAATTAACACACAAAGTATTTTTACTGTAGTGTTTAATATTTTTTTTTGTCGCTATATTCTTTCTTTAAAATTTTTGTTTATCGTTTTATATTATCGACTAATTTATTAAAATTGTTGATGAATAATAAGATTAAAATAAACAGAAAAACAATGAACAAATTTATCTGCCAACCTAATAATCAGAGGAAAAGACTTCTTCAATTTGGCAAAGATTTTTTCTTTCCAAAGAAAAAAAAAACATTTGATGGTTTTTATTGAAGCATTCTGAATTTCTGGGATGAAGAATTATCATTTGCAATTGGACTAATATCCTCATATTTCTTGTACCCTCTAGCATTTTTTTAGGTGTTATTCAGTCCAGGTAAACTTCATGAAATTTTGAACTGAACTCTTTATTTAATCTACAAGGCTATAGAGGGACAGTGGAATGAGAACAATCTGTCCCCATACATTAAATAAAGTGTTTAGTTTGAAATTACCTAAAAGTTACCCAGATTGATAGACACCTGAAGATGGTTGGAGAGGCACAATGGCCAGAATGCTATGATAAATACAACAAAGATGAAGATATTAGTCTGACTGTAAATAATGTAAATAAATCAAACATTGTCTTGTATAATTTTTAAAATTAAAAAAAAAAGATTTTTTAAATATCAGTTTGTAATTTTCATTATAGGGAAGAGAAAGAAAAATTTTTTATAAAAATCTGAAATGTTGTTTTTACTGTTCATCTAAACTACAGATATACAACATTTGATTACTTATTAAGGTTTCCTTCTAATCAAAACCTAGCCTGTATTCTTGAGAGAAACCATCTTTGAAAAAAAAATAAATAAATAAAATAATAATGCAAACTTATATAAATTGATCTTTTTGTTGTGAATTTTGCTTGTTTGTTTTCTGGGTTTTATATACAATGACCTCTACTGTTAAAATCAAGACATTTTGTGTCTATTACATTTAATGATCATTTTTTTTCCTAATGTACAAATATCTGTCCACAAACATGCTTGTTGTGTGTGGGCAAATTGGCCCAAATTTATGTTGCATTGTCCCAAGCTTTCAACTCATATAAGTCGTCATTAAAGGAGAGATGGTGACAACAGACAATTTTTTAAGTAGATTGTATCATTAATTTTTAAAACTAAATCAAATGAAGCATAATGCAGCAAGTCATGAAACCAATGTATAATAATGTGTTTGGAAACATTTTTTTTTTTTTATGCAGGCAATAATGCAATGTTTCAAACTATGGTCTGACCACTTTAAAGTGGCATCCTTGGAACCAGGCCACTGTCAAACCACAGAGAGTGCCAAATGACAGAAATCACTACTAATAAAAAAAACCCAAAAAACAAATAAGCATAAAATTGACAGATCCTTCCACGTATATATTGCGGTCTTATCAAAGGTAGAACAAAGCTTAAAACAGGAAATAAAACAATCATTAATGCTTCCAAACAAGCTTTTTATTATTTCATGCAATATAAAGCCTAATATATACTATCATGAATGAGTAAATATGAAACTATATATGTAGTCTGATCAAAAATTTATTGGGATATGTACTATAAAAAGAAAACTATAACACATCAATTTGGCAATTAATCTCCTTTGAAGTAGACACCTTTTGAAGACATACACTTTATCCTGCATCATTTCCATTAATGGAAGCATTCCTAGAATTCCTTTTTTGGAATAGCAGGCAGCTGCCTCATCGCATTCTCTTGGATTTCTTTGAAACTTATTCCTTTCAAGTGGGATTTGATTTTTGAAAAGGAAAAAGTTGCAAGGGCAAAGTCTAGGTAATATGCTGAGTGTCAGACCTGGGGAATGTTGAGCTTGGCCAAAAACTGCTACATAAGCTACTGATGGAACCCCTGTAATTTGGTGAGATGATCACACTCTACACACTTTCCTTCCAAGCACTGCTATAAAGAATGGAAGTGAACAAGAACACTATAACTTAATGTTCATATGTGGCAATGTCAATCTGTGATAAGAGGCTTCACTCTGTGTACTTTAGTTCCATTACCATAGCAACAGTCCTGATACTTTTTGTTCAGACCTTTTGTATCATTTATTCTTCAAAATGGGCAAAAAATATTGAAATGTGTGTTTGCTTACAGAACCTATGATTTCCAGTAATTAGTTATTTAAAGCCAGAAAATATTTTTAGAGTAATTATTTTTTTTTTCATTTTGAGATAGATTTACTACTACAAGCTCTGGATGTGTGTTGTGGTGTAATGTGTATTGGCTTGGAATGAGAACTCTAGGAGCCAAGTTTGAATTCTAGTCAAGTTTTTCATCCACTTATGCACAAATACCCTTGGGAACGGTATAAATCCATCTCTTCCCCCCCCCCAGCTATGGATTGAATAGCAGGACAGACTGGATTCTTTAGCCTTGGTTGTCAACCAGTGAACCTTATATCAAGAACATAACTTAGTGTGTATGCACAAGAGTTCAAGGTCAATCTGTGTCAAGCAGCTTCACTCTGCATACTTTAGCTCCATTACCATATCAACAGTCCCAATACTTTTTGATCTATCACATATAAGAAATGACCAAGATCGTATCACCAAAACACTCTACTGCTGTTGGCTGCTATGGAAAGTTGTAAATGTGGCATGGAAACACAGCTGCTTAACAAACTAATGGTGGCTGATTCAAAAAAGCACTGGGCCATGGAGTGCCAGATTAAAGAGGTTGGACTGTATAGTGATTTTTATTTATGGATTCTTAAGTTGGATAAGGGCTTAAGGGCTTCTATAATTTGTAATTCTTTTTTTTTTTACTATTAGATTTATAAAGTATTATCAGAAAGAACCTGTTTAATATTATTGTTATTCTTGTGGTATTTGATGTGTTATACATTCGGAAAAAAAAATCATTAGATTTTAATAGACATAAAATCGTTTTTAACAATAAAAGAATGATTGCTGTCCAAATTACAACCTGTGTACATGGATATTTGTCAGAAGGTTGTGTATATTGAGAGATCAAATGTGCATATTGAGTTATATACCTTTATTGATACATTTACTACAGGTAAGTCTATTTGGATCATTCTTTTTGTACCAAAAAAAAAAAAAAAAATAATAATAAGCAGGTAGGTGGGAATTTTTCCATTTATAAAATAAGTATGCTGATTCAAATGTTTCACTGGGAATTTTTATTTAAGTTTAATAAACATGCTGGGAAATGTTTTGAAAAATAATAAGTGTACCAAGAGGGGATTGAAGTAAATTTTTGTATTCACTGAATCATGAAAATGGTGAACATTCAATTTTCAATTCTAGATTATCAATCTTACTAAGAGATAATGATCAATATATTACAAACATAATGATATTATCAATAGATTTTTCAGTGAAGAATATTATTTATTAGTTAGATTCATATTGAGTTAACCTTTAAAAACCTTTGGAGGTGATTTTGTTTGCAAAGCAAAAATTTTATCCTCCCACTGCAAGTTGCTCAAATGAATGAATGAATGATAGTGTGTTTGAATTTTACGGTTGTGTTGTCATATCCTGCTATGGCAACAGAAAATAACCATGACTGAAATTAAATAGTGCAGTACAGGATCCTTAAAAAAAACAATGCAGCAGAAAGGAAAGTAGTAAATAATGCAGTGTGTTAAAGGTCTAATAAAAATGTTACAATGTCAATATTATCAAACTTTTATGTTCAACTAAAGTTTACAAAACAATCACAGATGCTTTTTGCTTTCAACAAGAGAAAAGAAAAAAAAAAGAAAAAACACAAAATAAATAATGCTCTTAAGTTTATTGTTAAAATATTTTTTATTATGAAAAAGCTCCAATAAGAAAAAAAAATAGCGAATGACAAAAAAAATTTAAAACTAGAAGAGAGTGAGATAAAGAAAAAAAAGTGATTGCTTTCAGGTCTTTTTGCTTTTTAATGTCCAACATCTGGTGTCATCTCAGCACATTAAAAAAAAAAAAATCAAGGAAAAGTTCACTGCCACCAACAATTATTTACTTCAATGTTTGCCAAAGGAACCAACTTCTCAAATATGCCATCAAAGCAGTGAGACATTTTGTTTTAGTGACTCAGCATATAGTGATCAGCATTCTCATATTTGTTACTTGCTCGTGCATTTTTGGTATTAATTAAAAAAAAGAAAAAGAAAAAAAGAAACAAAGAATTCTTCAGTTATTTCTATTGTTATTGAATATCTAAATACGTTTGTATTTTTAGCATGTTTTTAATTATTTTATATAATGTTAGCAAAAAAAATAAATTGACAAAACCTAAATCTTCTTTGCTATCTACTTTTTTTAAACTCTTTTACATATTCACAATAAAAAAAAAAACTGTTGCATAAATTACTCTATAACTAATTCTCCATCTTTGCTAATTTCTGTCTGAATCTTTTGAATGAGGAATTATCAATTAATCTTTTCTGTTTTATCATTGTTTTTTTTTCTTTTCCCATTTGTCTAGAGTTTAATGCACTTGAATAATTTGGAAATGTGGATTAGAGAACTCCATTATCTCTATCACCCTAATCTAAGATGCCACAGGATTGGAGAACAATGAGGATTACATTCCAAATGATATTTTCTCATATTCTAGATATATTTAAAATTTACAAGAATTCTTGCATTCTCAAGTTAATCCCATTATCTTGGCCATAAAAAATAAAACAACTATGCCAACCCTGATGTAGTGACAAAAAAAAATAAAAAATAAAATAAATAAATAAAATAAAAGATAAAGAATTTGGGAATTAATTTCTTCATCTTAGAATTTTTCTTTTCTTTCTATTATTTTTCCAAGATTTTTCATTTGGACTGCTTGTAGAGTAGAACCAGAGTTTTTCTCTTTTGTAAATATTTAGCACCTCAATATATTTGCAAAATCAAGGAATTAATAAAAAAATAAATAAGAGACACACAAGAAGCAAACAAACATGATGGCGTGGTTGTTTTAATTAATAATAATTGTAATGATTGGTAGCGTAAAGCTTTGTTGGAAACTGGTCGAGCCGAACTTGTCATTTTTGGTTGGTTGGTTGAAGAGGCAGCAGTGGTTTTCTTTATAAAGGGCAGTCATAGATATACACAGATTTATCATCTGATACAGACACAATCTTGTTACCTTCAGGATTGTATTTAGCACACCAAACCTAAAAAAGACAAAAATAAAATTTAAAAAAAAACAAAAAAAACAGCTATAGCTTTTTTTCAATTTCCTTTTATACAAGGTGGATGCTGAAAAGTTCTCAACTCAAACCACTTTCCAAAATCTGACCAACCAAACACCAATAGTCATTCTTTGTTAGGCTGAGAATTTTTCAGCACCTTGTTGCAAATAGTTCAATTTTTAACATTCAAAAGCCTATGGAATGAATAACATGCTTATAAAAAAAAGAATTCACTGATATGTTGTTAGTACTAAACCCATTGTACCTAATGGATCAAGTGTTAAATGATAAAACAGCTCATTTGACCTGAATGATACAATTCTTTAAATGAGGTGGGTTTTTTTTTTAAAGATTAATATTTGTGATCTATTATTTTGTCTACACTGGTCTAAATGGTTTGTTATCCTTCAACCTTTGACCACCCAACAAAATGTTCAAGTGACAAGTTAAATTTTTATGATTAGTCAAGTAGCTTTGTAACTTACTCTGAAATATAACTGAAAAGAGTTTCTGGTTTTAGTCATAATGTCTGTGTGAATTACAAGCAGTTTTATGTGTTTAGGACTGTAAAAATATTCTGCTGTATTAATTGAGGGATTTTTCTAAGATTTTCAGACATGCCATTTAAATTGGTTTAATTATAGTTAAAATATATTATTTATATTATATTTATAAAATAAATTGACAAAACCTAAATCTTTTTTGCTATCTACTTTTTTCTTTTAAAATCTTTTACATATTCACAATAAAAAAAAAAAACTTGCATAAATTACTCCATAACTAATTCTCCATCTTTGCTAATATATAAGAATATATTATTTAAATTGGTTTAATTATAGTAAGAATATATTATTTATATTATATTTATATTTTATAAGAATATATTATTTAAATTGGTTTAATTATAGTAAGAATATTGTTTTGAGAAATTAGTTCTGTAAATAACTTGTCATTTTCCATCAATATATTTTTCTTATTTATATATTACGATGAACAAGAAACATTTTTAATATTCAACTTTTAATTCAATTTTCCAAAACCTGTTTTCTTTTCACTTATTGTATAAAAACCAAAGACAACACTCAAGACAATATATGACGAGAAAAAAATGATATATCTATATTAAATGGGATGTTTGGAAATACTAATGGAGTGTTAAAGAAAGTGGGGAAAAAAAAAAAGACTATAGTCAACTAGAGGTAAGTTTTTTTTTTCTTTTTTTGGCTTTGACACCAGACATTTTGTTTCAACTACAAAAAGGTTTTCCAGTCATTTCATTTCCATGCATTGAGGTAAGTTTCTCAAAAATGACATTCATTCAAATAAATATCTAAACTTGGCTAAAAACAACAAAGAACTGTTATTAAGAAGAAAAAAAAACAAAACAGTGAAGCACTTACCTGATCAGAATGTTCTCCAAATGTATGTACGCACTGACGGCTAGTAGCATCCCAAATCTTCACTTTGCGGTCAGATGAACTGAAAAGAAGATAAAAATTTTGCAACTTGTGATATCATAGATAGGATTTTTAATAATTACATATATAGTGACAATTATGTATAAAGCAAAGAAAGAGATGCAACTAGAAAGTCAAGCTGACATACTTCCTCCAAGCTTAGTTTGCCTCCAGTAGTGACAGCTATTTTCTCTTCATTGCATAAAACACCACTTCTCCTTGGCAGGATGGGTGTGGCAGGAGTCTGGGCTACCTCAGCCAATCACACAAAAGTATACAGATAAATACCGTGTTTAACACTGATAATTTAAGTGTGTTTTAAAAAACAGGCAAGAAGTAACCTAAATAAATCTCCACCATTAATATGAAAAGCCTATGCTCATTATGTACATTTTATCACAGGTTTCCCTCTGTTGGTTACTGATAATTGGGAGTGACCAGGCAGCTTTCTATTCTGAATGTAAAACTGTAGAGAAGGCAATGGGAAACCACTCCTTTCCAAGAAGTCATGGCAATTCACAGATAATAATAATAAAAAAAGGAATTTGTGGAGAAGGCAATGGGAAACTACTCCACCATCTTTCTATTATACCGTTTATATGGACGATAATGTGTATGTCCCAATTCCTATAAAAAAAAAGTGGTATATACTGCATGTTGTGTCTTCTACTTGGAATTCATCTTGATTCACTTCTAGCTCACCGTTAACAGTTGATTACTTACTACATGCTGCTGGTGAATCCTGTATGTTGTTCCTGTTATAAATATTATTGTTCCGTTTCAACCATCGTTTTGGTTATTCTTATTCAGTAACCTTTTCCTAGGTTACAACACTTTCCTAAGAAGTCATGACAATACACGGCTGGTTCAAGCAGTAAGGAAAAAAAAATAGTTATATTTTAATTTGAGCCTAGTAAGACAGAATGTATAGATGCCAGCAAAAGGAACAGTCCAAGATGTTATCTATGAATTGGAGACACCAAAAATCAAGCAGGTAGAAAAATTTAAATATCTAGGTAATATTTTAACAGAGGACAGAAAATGTGGCACCGAAATCTGAAGGTGTATTTGAATGGTGAAAGATGCTTTCCAAAAGCTCAGCAAAATATTAAGAAACATGAAAATGTTGTTAGAAACAAAGAAAAGAGTGCTGAACTGTTATGTAAAATTGGTCCTCCTATATGGCAATGAATGCTGGACAATCTCCTCACAGATGAAGAAGAGGCAGTAGAAATGTGGTTCTACAGAAAGATGCTGAGAATGCCATGGACTGAACATGTGAGTAATGGAAAAGGATACAAAAAGGACACTTATAATAAGAAAGAAACAGTTGGAATTTGTAGGACATATAATGAGGAAAGTGGGCTTGGAGAATTTGACTCTCACAGGACATACTGAAGACAAGAGAGACAGGGGAAAGCAGTGCATAACCTATCTAATGAGCTTGTGTAAATGACAGCAGTAGCAAAAAGACAAACCTTACTAAGAGCTACAAAGAACAGGAAGTTGTGGGGAGCTGTGATCGCAACAACTGATGTTTTGTCATTTGAATAAACTTTGGAAATGGATTGAGCCAAGAACTTTTCAGCATATATAAAGAATTTGTAGAAACTAAAAATTAGTTTTAACTCAAATATCAAAATGTATTATAGGCTTATTTGAAAATTCTTGGTTTTAAAATAAATATAAATTCTCTTGGGGTTGGGATATAGGGGGTGTGGTGCAACACTAGACAATGTCACATGTTGTCCCATTTATTAAAATGAAATTCAGAAGAAAACAATATACATACCCAGAGACAAAATGAACGTTGTCAGGATTGAAATCAACAGTTAAGACCCAAGAACCATGTCCGGACAATGTACCCACAAGATTTGCATGTTGGCTGAAAAAGACCAAAGTTTTGTCACTTAAACTGTTTGTCCTTTAGATGAATATATTTAGAACAGAACTATATCTCATCAAACCTTTAGCAATTTCAATAATTTTAAATAGAGTGAATTACTTAGTAAAAAAAAAAACCCAAAAAACGAAGAGGACTTTTAGACAAAAAACTTACTTACACATCATAAATTTTTATGTGACTGTCATCAGAACCAGTGACAAGCAACTGAGAATCAGGTGAGAAACATAAAGACCGAATTGGCATAGCATGACCTAAGAAAAAGGAAAAAAAAAATCATTATATATATATATATGGGAAAACAACATATGTTTATATATCAAGAACAATTTTAGGGAAAATCTATGACAAACTGGAAAAAGTTCTTTCATGCAATGTGTTTCATTCTTTAGGACTTAGACAAAAATGATGTTTACGTTGATGTGACTAGACATGTGCAAGAAGAAGAGTGGATGTAATGATTACTATCCCAAGTCCTTTTAGCCAATTCATTAGCAATTTTCAAGGGGTTCATTGTTAAATTTTTTAAGGTTTATGTAGAAACCATATCAATAAGAATTTGATTGATTCCTTCATTTTCCATGGCTTATCAACACTTTTGTAGGTTATTTGAAGCTAGAAGATAGTTTTTTTAGATTGTAAGATTTTTTTTTTTGAGATAATAATGATTTAGTGATACAAGTATTGCTAATTAACCCATAGCTTGTGGGAGAAGAGGTGGATTCATACCTTTCCCAAGGGTATTTGCGAGTAAGTGAATATAACAAACTCAACTGGAATTGGGACTCAACTCTCCAATTAATAATTCTGAGCTATTATTCATTATACCATCGGTATATTCAAGCTTGCAGCACTTAGCATTCTCAAGCAACCACTCATCTACGTCAACACTGACCCGGCTCAATGTTCATTGGTTCCTGTATGATCACTCAAGTTAAGAACTTCAATGATAATACAAGAACTGGTGTTTTAACGTGATGTCGCTGTAAGCTTGAGTTCACATATAGTGTGACCACTGATTTTTTTCATATAGCTTGTGAATAATGTGGCCTTAACTTCTTAGCAATTCTCATAGGTCTACTGTAGTTAAATATTGCAGTACTGGACATATAGCAAATAAATGATCTTCAGTCTTTTTTCTAGAATGCTACCCCAAAATGGTGAGAAAAACTACTTGCCATAAAATATCTGATATGAAGATTTAGTGGTCGTGCAAATAAAGGAAAGACAAAAAGGTAGCCACAGGTGAAAGCTGAATTGCAGGCTAAAAGAGCTTACCTGTATTGCTACAATTAACCAAAGGTACTGTGAGAATGTAGACCTATCAGGTAGGCTATGATCATCAAAAAATGTATGATTTTTAACCTCTTCAAAAAAAAAAAAGAAAAGAAATTACCTGTGTATAGTGCAACCCCCTATTTTTTGCTTAAAAAATTGTTAATAAAAACTCACACAATACGTGTGTGTATAAGCAGGACAGAGAATCCAGACAAAGTTTGATAAATCTAACAAAGTGGAAAACTGTTGACTTGATTATGTGTTTCACCATCGTTAGATATCAGAACAAAAGAAATATGTGTGTGTACTTCAATATTAAATTGTTAAGACAATTTCACTAAGCTGACCTCCCTCGGTTGGGACGAAAGAACAAAATTGTGTGACTTTTGTATAAAAGCCATTATTTTAATTTATGTTGTTTTCTTTTCTTTTCTTTTCAATTTTCTTGTTTTTGTCAAAATTTGTTTTTAGATTCTTCCAACTGTTTCTGCATTGAAATTAACGTAAATCCCTATCCAATTTTTCAGAATGGGTTGAAAGTAAAAAAAAAAAAAAAAACTCATATATTTTAGGTATGCTTTTGTGTTTTCCGTATCAACATGTTTTGATTCTTCATTCTGATGTGAGGAAGCACATCTAATGATGAGGAAATGTGTTTTCAATGTCAATAAAATAGTATTCCACTTGTCAAATATCTCCTTCGTCCAAAAACCCTACGTACATATCTTATCTCTTTACTTCCTCCTTTTTTTTTTTCCCTTTTCCCATATCATTTCTGTTGAGTTGACTGATTAAATAGGTCAATCTATGATCCTTACCCCCTCCTTCCTCAATATTAAGTATTATAATAAAAAGAAATATAAAAATAAATTTTAAAACTCTCCCTTCCCTCTCTAAACTCAACCATGTCTCTCACACCATTCCTCACCACCCTCTATGTCAACTTATATAAGCTTAATACTGCCTGTCAAAAGTGTAAATTTTAAATTCATTTTTCGTTCCACCTTTTGAAGGTGAAGTCTGATGATCCAGAGAAAAATAAAATTCTCTGGTGAAATAAATTATTACAAATGGAGCCTTAAAGTGGTCTGTTTTTCTTTAAATTAATATATATATATATATATATATATATATGTAGACCTAGTTTAGTGACCATTACAGAACACTCAATACTCCTAATACATCGTACAAAGAGAATACTATACTACAGACCCACTCATGGTGCAACTACTGGCCAGAACTGGAAGCCTATTTAAAAAGCTCCTTGTTCCACTGGAAGTGATACATTTTATTTTTGGTTTGAGTTTGTAGTGCTTCATTGCTGTAATTGGCTTCAGAAATTCAAAGAAAGTTTTACTTTATCCTTGTAATAATGTCTTTAGTTTATGTAACTGAAGTACAAGATTTATTCTATTTCCTTTAGAATTTCTATATTATTTTATATTTGTAGCAAAAAACAATCTTTTTTTTTGTGTGAAATTCACTAAAAAAAATATGTGATTTAGGTAATTCAGTTTTGTCACTTGGAAGTTTATTTAACATTTTTCACTTAAAAGAAAAGTTAACTTAATAATCTTCTCTGAAATTTTTATTCATTAAAGCAAATCCAATGATAAGCTTTATTTTTTTTTTTGAGTAATCTGTATTTCTGTTTCTAACAGATACAAAGTAAGTTTAATTTTAACCACAGTTCATAAAGTAACATTTTACACTGAAAAATTAAAGATAAAACAATTTAAAGGCATTTTGCTCTAACAGAAAAATGTGTAATTGTACTTAATTTAAAGAAATAATTTATTAATCTGATTTTTCCAATATTTCTTCTTAAAGAAAGTTAAACATAACAAAACATTAAAATTAAGTTTTAATAAGCTTCCCACCCACCGAAGGCTTTCCTCAATTCAGTTTTAAACTACAAAATTTATTTAAAAATGCTATTATTTGTTACATAAAGTTAATTCAAAATTTTTCTTTATGATATTGTTAATCATACCAACAATTATATTGATGATGAAATTAAATTTGATTTGATTTTTTGTTTAGGCAGTTTCTAAAAAAACCTAAGATAGAAGCAAATATAATATTTTTATACTAAAAAATCAATGAAAACTACTTAAAAATGTTTAACTTTTGATTTTTCTAGAATTCCTGAAATTCAAAACATTATGAAATAGGCCTCTAGTTCTAGCCCTTATTTGCACCATGAGTAGTATAGAAGGCCATGGTTATGATTAGATTACTGTAATATACTTGAAATAATTTCAATCTGAAAAAAAAAAAAAAAAAAAAAAAAAAAGAAAGCTGAGCTATTGTCCTGTAGCACTGATTTGTAAGTTTGATAACATAGTAATTGTGAGTTCAATCCCTGGGCAGGGTAGTGTGTACTTGGCTTGGACTCAGTGAAAACAGGCCAAGCAATAACTGAGCAGTACTAAAAATAAGAACTAGAAGAGATATCCAAAGACATAGGCAGTGGAATGAGAACAGTTCATCCCTGTAGATTAAATAAAGGGTTAATTTGGAATTCACTGTAGCTTAGCTGGATCAATATACACCGAAGACTGAATGGCACAATGGCTGGAATGTCAGTAACAGCAACAACAATGATTAGGACAATACCCCAAATGTAAATAGTGTAAATATTGAAAAATGCAAATTCACATCTGTCAAAAGTGTATATAAAATCTATTATACTATTGAAATGTGCTACAAAAATCTAATGTTTCAAAAAACACCAAAAATTTTCTTATATGTATTGCTGTTGGGACCAGCATACTTAAGTTGGTTGTAAATTTCACAATATTTCAACCATCCTTCCTCATATCTGTCATTATACTTCACAACCTTCCTGGAATGTTGAACCAAACTCTTTTTTTCAATTTACAATGATAGATTGTTCTCATTCTGTTTTACATGTTTAGGAAAGATAACTGATATTAATTAATACTCAGCAATCTGACACATGGCCTAGAGTAGTGGTTTCCAACCTTTTTTTTTTTTTAGCTCATGGGCCACTTTGAATACAGAATTTTTCAGTGGCCCATAAAATTATTATAGTGTAAAAAATTACCGTATTTTCCAGCTTGGAAGACACACCCTAATATCGGAAAGAAATTTCTAAGGAAAAAAAAAAAAAAAAAAAAAAGAAGGCATTCTTATACAACAACACATTCACCATGCATAGTGATGGCGCCATGTATTGTTTACATTAAGCACTTGTCTGATTTTGTTTGTATGGCAATGACATACTAGTTGGTGGTTAGTAAATATACTATACATCTTTCATTGTCCAAGAGTGCTTTTATTTTCATAAAAATGAATTAAAATATTTTCAAAATAAGTATGTAAAAATATGAAACCATCAAAGAAATTTTTATTCATCTTCAAATCCCAAGAACTTGTCAATGCTGAATTCATTAGATAGATAGCTAACATTATAGTGTAATGACTCAACATACAAATCCAAATCCTTATCAGTCAAACCAATTAGGTGACCGTCCAAGCTTACTTAAGCCTGGGTATTGCCTTACATTCGTCTTGGAAGATACACACATATTTTTCAGGGTATTTTTTAGGAAAAAAGTGCATCTTGTAAGCTGGAAAATACAGTACTTTTATTTTACATAGAACATATCCAATTATAAAATTTCTGTGGCCCAACTGCAATTTGCCATGGCCCACAGGCTGGGTAAATTCTGGTCTAGAGCAGTGATTTGCAGATATTTTTCTGCCTAAATGTCATTTCCCCCTTCTAAAGATTGTCTGACATAAAATGTACATTGCAAATAATATGTATATATTATTGAAAATATTCATTCTTTTCCATTTTAGTATGTATAGATTTACATGGATTATTTTTTTTTTTTTTTTATAGAGGAGTTTTCTGACTTTCATGATGGGCTCCAAATTTTGTTAAAAAAAAAAAAAAAAAAAAGTAGTAAAAAGATCCTTCCCCCTGAAATTCTCCTCTATTTGGGAACCCCTGGCCTATAAGAATAAAGCATTGTTTAAAACATACCTTCTTCTCTGGAAGTTGTGAATAAAATCTCTGGACCTAGTAGTGTTGAAAAAAATCATATTCTGGTTCACTGGAAGGAGGTGAATAAAACTAGCGATTATTAACCAAGTGAAAATAGCCCCAATCTGCCCCTGGATTCATTTGGATTGAATAAAAAGTCCAGTTCAAAATTCTAAGTTAGGTACAGAGTCCAATGACAGACCTCTGAAGAAAACTGGAGGGTACAATGGCTGAAATGTTGACAGTGTAAACACCAAGATGAGCATGATGGTTGGAATTTCAAAGCATATAATAATTTCTCATCTCAAGAATTCCAACATAAATTTTGTTTTTTTCTTATACAGGTTATTTTGATTTTTTTTTTTTTTTAAAATAAAATTATATAATTATTTTCCTCTTTCTGGTGCATACACCAATATTTTCATCAAATTAAAACTTTAATTCTTTTGACTGTTGGTTTCCTCAATTTGATATTCATTTTATCATTGCTTTAAATGATAAACTAACAAGTATCATAAGAGAAGGGGCTTTGAATCATGATTTTGCGTCTTCTATAAAAATCATATAGAAAACATGGATTTCTTCAATTCCAGAATAATTTCTGTTAGGTTTCAAATTTTCTTTTTCAGAGTATGCACCTATTTGTTGGTTTGAGAAGTACATTCGAGATGTTAATGTCAAAGAAAAAGTGATGTGTCTACTGAAATAACTTTAAGGAAATGTACAAATACACATTACATATACAAAAGGTTTAAATATAGAAAGTCTTTGTTTACCTTCCAAAGCATGTAATAAGTGTCCAGTTGTTGTATCAAAGATGCTCACAATTCCATCAATAGTTCCACATGCAATGTATTTGCCATCAGGACTCTGGAAAACAAGGATGCAAGCATTCATAGAAACTGATTGGATCAATACAGGAAAATAAAGAGTTTAATTATGTCAGAAGAATGTTGACATTAGCACATTTCTAAACATTTCAAAATTAGGAAAACAGGAAAAGTTAGAAAGTGGACACAGAGAAAAAACAGAGATTAGATACAGAGTGAAAAAAGAGATAGAGAGAGAAAGGAGAGAAAGAAAGGGTATAGGGAAAGTATATATAGAGAGAGAAGTAGAGAGAGAAGAAAGTAAAGAGAGAGAGAGAGAGAGAAGAAAGTAAAGAGAGAGAGAGAGAGAAGAAAGTAAAGAGAAAGAGAGAGAGAAGTATATATATAGAGAGAGACAGAGAAGAAAGTAAAGAGAGAGAGTGAGAGAAGAAAGTAGAGAGAGAGAGGAGAAAGTAGAGAGAGAGAGGAGAAAGTAGAGAGAGAGAGGAGAAAGTAGAGAGAGAGAGAGAGGAGAAAGCAGAGAGAGAGGAGAAAGTACAGAGAGAGAGAGGAGAAAGTAGAGAGAGAGAGAGAGGAGAAAGTAGAGAGAGAGGAGAAAGTAGAGAGAGAGAGAGAGAGAGGAGAAAGTAGAGAGAGAGAGGAGAAAGTACACAGAGAGAGAGAAGAAAGTACACAGAGAGAGAGAGAGAGAGAATGAGAAGAAAGTGTAGAGAGGGGGAGATAGAGAAAAGAAAGTAGAGAGAGAGAAAAAAAGAAAGCAGATACACAGCACAAAAAGTAGTCAGAAAGTGAACATACATAAGCCAAACTCAGGACAAATTTTTTGCTTGTATCCATGGAACTTTCTTTTTGCCCAGAATCGACTCCAAATAAATTTATTTTGCCTGTATGACTTCCCGTTGCTAAATAACGAGAGTCTGGGGAGAATGCAATGGTCCATGCATCAGCTGACAAAAAAGACAAAAAATATATACATAAGAAGGTGTGACCTATTTGCTGGACTAAGAGAATGCTAAAATATATTTCTTACATTAATATGAGACTTGATATTTTTATGAACTAAAATCACAAAATAAATCACATGTAATATGTACAAGTTGAAAATATATTATTAACAGATTATATTTTGAATAGAATATAATAAAAAAAATTCAAAATAATTTTATATTTATTGGGTACATGTGCTTGAAGAGATTTTTTTCTTTTTAAAATAAACAAGAAAGACCACAGTGAAATTAACATCTACTGGTCTAAAGATCAAAAGTTTTATAAGAAGAAAAAGTGGGGTGGGGGAGTAAAGAAAGAAGAGTTGGAGAATTTAACATTCACAGGGTAAATGAAAGCAAGAGAAGCAGAAGGAAAACAGTGAGTACTCTTCTTGACAAAAATGAGTAAATAAGTTACTTGGATCAATAAGGTGCAGGATATTGTGGAATGCCATAATCACTCACGTCTTGAAAGGACACATAGAGAAGAAGGTAGATAGCTATAGTATTTATATAGAAAGTGAAATGTACATATGAAAAATCACAAAATAAAAGTTTTTCTCATTCTGTATGTGTTTTTCTCTTCTTCTATATGCTATGTCCTTTCAGGACATTGGCGATCATGGCTCTCTACAACTTCCTGTTCATTGGAGCTCTCAATAACTTTTGTCTTTTTGCTCTATCACCCAAACCTTGCTCTGCCATCCATGCACTCAAGTAAACCAGGCAGGTTATGCATTGCTTTCCTCTGTTTCTCAATCTGTCTTGTGAGTATCAAATTTTTCAAGCCTCTTTCCTCATGTGCCCAAGCTGTGAGAAAGAAGTATACAGCAGGAAAATTGTGCTGCACCAGTCTTCCAAATGAGGTTAGTTTTTGCAACTCTAATTTTTTTTTTTTTTTTTTTTTATAAAAAAAAAAAACCTGGGCTTGAACACTCTTGTTGGTTGGAAAACATGTAAACATTTCAGTTATGAGGCTGGACACACACCTCTCTCTCTCTCTCTCTATATATATATATATATATATATATATATATATATATATATATACACACACACATTTTTATATATATATATATATATATATACACACACACATATATTTATATATATATATATATATATACACACACACACATATATATACATACACACACATACATACATACACACATATATATATTAGGCACACACATATATTGGATACAAAGACAACATGTAAGCACAAATGAACAGATTTTAGTCACAAATTCACAAATCAAATTAAAAATAATTGATGAAAGCATAAATTTTTAGTGATAAGTCAATTGCTTTTTGCTTTTATAAAATATGTACATTTTTCTAATTCTTATCACTTACCTGGATTGGCATCAATTCCTTTGGCCAGTTTCCCTGTATCCAAATCCCAGACTCGGATCTGGCTGCCCAGGCTACTTGTGGCAGCCACTGCACGCAACAGTTAAGAAATATAACCAACTTTGACCATTGTCAGCGAATAACAACATTTCCATAACGAGATTTGATGGTAAATGTGACAAAAACATTTTGCATTTAAGTAAATCAATCAACAATAATAAAAAAAGGCATGTATTCTAAAATCATAAATTTCTACAAAAGCTTTTCTCATTTAATAATTATTTTTAGGCAAGAGTGATAGGAACTGACAAAATATTCTGCAGTAGAGATCGTTTCACAAGAGCTCTATTCAAATATTCTGAGGTTCTCAGGTTATCCCCCTAATTTTTTAGAAGACATTTTTAAAATATTTTATGAACTTGAGCTAAATTAGTAATTAACTATATAAATAGTTATGCCATCAACTCTCCTCCATACAGGTATAGTAAAATTAAGTTTTTGTCTATATTTTATCTGTTTAGTATTGTGTTTATTGTTTTTTGTGTTAGTTTTAATGATTTTCATTGGTTTTGTGCACAAAGTACTGTGGAAAAAATTTAAATAAGTAATCATCTGGGCTCCAGGAATGGTTTGGTTTGGTTTGTTTTACGGCATATCAACCTCAACGAGTCATTTAATGATGAAAACTTTTTTTTTTTTTTTTCCTGGTAATATTTTTGTTTTGTCAAAAATCCATTTCTGTTAATATTTTTTTTCTCAAAAACATATAGCTGGTAATATTATTTTTCCAAAAACTTATAGCTGGCAACATTATATTTTCAAAAACATTATCAGAGGCCTTGCTGTTGGACGCAGTTTATCGACTTACCCAGGGGACGGATGTAGTTTATTGTTATACACAGGACGAGATCTGGGTTTGTGGGTTAACTATTTGCCCATAGCTGGGACCCTAACAGGTGCTACCACCCCGGGTTAGGGTGGACCTGAGGATGCCAGCAATTAAGAGGTGGTTCCACACTCCTAAAAAACCTCATGATCAGAAGCCTTGCTGCTGGACGTAGTTTATCGTTTTACCCAGGATGCGGATGCAGATTATCGTCATACCCAGGACGTTCCAGAAATGGGTTAATTCATTTTATATGGATTCCTATGGGGTGAAAATAGTTTTGGATCACAAACGGCCTTCAGGAAGAAATAAAATTTGTGAATTGAAGTTCCACTGTATATATAATTTTTTTTTTTACACAATCAATTACCAATCATAGATGGATTGCCAGTAATTCCCCAACTTGTTCAGGGCATGGGAGATCATGGCTCACCACAACCTCTACTATCTCTTAGTAATGTTTGCCCTTTGGCTCTTTGTTGCCAGACATGGCAACAATATCCGATGCATGGAAAAATGGTAAACTTATAAAGTTGAAAGATAGATTCAGGCAAGAAAAATTGTCTCACATGATATTGTTGCCATTTCTGGTCTGTTGCTTCTGCTAAGTATATAGAATTCAAAGAAGAATTTGCAGCAAAGGGACAAACGTTGGTAAGGGATAGTAGGTTGTGGAGAGCAGCAGGAACAGCCATCTTATTTCCCCAATTAGGATACAAGTGCCTGATGTGTTAATGTCAATGGAAACAATGCCCAACTGATGCCCCTCGAGAATGTGCCGTGGCTTGAGAGTGTTGTCTTCCCTGCAAAAATAATTTAACAATTTAATTTGCACTAAAAGAAAAACAAAAATAAGAAACAGAATTATAATAATCACACATAGTTTATTTGAGATCAAATATGGATCAGAATTGGACAAAATGATAAGAAAAAACAAATATAAACCTAACATGTTTTACTTTCATTGAAGCTTCGTCAAAGACAGAGATATGGAGAAAAAGAAGAGAGAAATTCTGTTATTTTACTTTTGTGTTCTCTAGATTTTTATTGGTCTTTTGAACCAACATTAGTAGAATTTGTGGTGTTCTGAATTCAAGCAGAGATAATGTGTCCATTTGATGTTTCAAGAAATGAACAGATCCCAAGACTCTGTGAAAAACCGTAAATATGTATGTAAGTGTATAAAAATTCTGTTTTGTCTATGTGGGAATCAAATAATAACGTATATTTGTAATTGTGTGTGTGTATGTGAAAAATCAACAAATACAATGTCTACTTGACATACACACCATTTTTAAAGTAATAAATATTGTTAAAGAATGAAAGTAGTAAAAATAATAGTGGTGTTAATGGAAAAGCTTTTCTTTTGACACCTTGTCTCTTTGCAGACATGTTTATCCATGTTTGCCCTATTTTTGATGTTGTTTTTGCTATTATTACATTTCAGAAGATACAACATACTTCAAATATGTATATAAAAGGTGTTCCAATAACTTGGACGAATTTTAAATGTGAATTATGTTTAAGCGTCTAATGATGTTTTTCCTTTTTCTTTCAAATTTAACAAATTAAATATTTGGCAATTTCAATCATGGAAAGATTAACAACCAACCAAGAGTGCAATTGGAAAAATTGTTTGTAAATTCAAACAAACTGGGTTGGTGGCAGATGTGAAAACACCATTGCATGCTTGTTTATGCCGTTCAGCTGAAAACATTGCTTCAGTGCATGCCAAAAATCCAGACCCCTCTATTCAACATCATGCATAGGAATTGAACCTCTTCACGTTATCTCATTTCCAATTGCACTCTCAGTTGGTTGATTATATTGACCAAAAAAATCGCGAAGTGTGTGAAATGCATTTGTTTGAACGTCCATTTTCGTAATAGGCTTCGATAACTTTAACACGTTGTTTGATTGTTAATCTTTCCATGGTTGGAATTGCCAAAGACTTAAGTTGTTAAATCTGAAAGAAGAAAGAAAAAAGAAAAAATCATTAGGCACTTAAACTTAATTCACATTTAAAATCGATCCAAGTTATTGGAACATCCTTTATAAGGCAAAAAAGAAGTACTTTTAAGAAAATGATAGCAAACACTATTGTTCTTGTGAGTGACCCAGTTCTATGCAACAGATATAAGGAGAGACTTCAAAATATGGTCAGTCATTATATAAAGATAAATACAAACTACTTCTACACACAGTCTGTTAATGATTGCAGCCACAGATGAACATAGTAACCCTCTTTTTCTCAATGGCTGTGAACTGCTATTCTAACAGCCACTTCAAGTAAGTCCTTAACGACTTGCTCAACTTTTGCATATTCATCAGGCAATAATACTGTGAGGACTACACTTGCACATACACTCTTTTTCACACTGTAAATGGCCACCAGCTTGTGAAGCACATAAGACATTGTGCTTTGTTTTGCTTCAGGTAAGTGAGTTGGGAATTTGTAATTCTATTTCAATTTCTGAAGGAGAGATTGACTCGTATGTTTCATTATGGATAACGCACTTAAAGAAAGATGTACTCTTGAATGGATCAGTTGAAACACAATGGTAACAAAACAGTTAAACACCTCTTAGATGTTTTACACAATAGCATTAAAAAAAAAGATTATTTCCTTTTCTACAAATATTAGCCCATCAAGAAAAATTAAAATATCAATATGAGCAAAAAAGATTGATTCATTATAGTGTGTGATTCGTGCCAGGAAATACCAGAAGTCTGAATTGAATTTAATGTCCATCAGGAATCTTTGATTTAAGAAGAGTTGATTTCTGGTGACCCCAATATGTACTGGATTCACTTTAAAAGATTCCAAAGTAGGTTTGAATTTAGTGTCATTTCAGAAAGTCAATGAAAGTTTAAGAACCACAAGGGTTAATCTAGAGGATGACCTCAAAGTTGCCAAGAAGAGAATCGGACCACAAAATATATTGAAGCATGCACCAATTAAAACAAGAAATGAACCCAGCTGAACTTAGGATATAGACACACAAAACAAAAGAAGTTATAGAGATTCCCTTCTATGAGGAGAGAAGCAGGATCCCTCATTCCTTGGTAAAAAGAAGATTGAATGTTCAAAGACCTGAAACCACATATCCTTGATTAGGTGAATGTTAATTTGATGGTGTGTAGAAGTGAATATTTTAAATATAAAAAAACTTAATCACATTTTTCTTATCAGATGTTATGAATATAACATCATTATCAATTTTTGAATAGTTTTTCTTTTTACCCTAAATTTTTGTTGCTTTTCATTATAGCTGCCAGGTAGATTTCATATGCTAAAAATAAGCTGAGAATTGTGATAAAAAGCAACAAAAATTATATGAAAAACCAATGGAAAATAAATATGAATGACACCATTTCATCTAAGAAGCTGAAACAACTTATAATTCAGGCATAATCTGCAAAACAATATACTAAATAAAAAAGCAAGAAGAAAGGACTAAATATTACTATAAGAAGACAATGGATGGTTGTCAGTAAATGGGACAACACAAGGTTGAGTTACATACTGGGGACGTCAAAAAACAGCAGGTAGAAACAAACAATGGAAAGTGTGACAGAAATCTGAAGGCACATAGAATAAAAAGAGAAAGCTGTCTTTCATAAACTAAGCAAAATATTAACAAACAAGAAAATATCTTTAGAAACAAAGAAAAGAAGTACTGAACTGCTATATAATATAATCTATATGGCAATAAATGTGGGACACTCTCCTCACAGATGAAGAAAAGATTTGTAGTGACAGGAATGTGTTTCTAATGAGGAATACTACATAAGCAACAAGAAGTCTTAAGATTAGGGACTACAATGAAATTGATAATCATAAAAAGGCAGCTAAAATTTCTGGGACACATAAGGAAAAGAGGGTTTGGAGGATATAACACTCACAGGACATCCTGAAGGCAAGAGAAGCAAGGGGGAAACAGGTACTTGAAGAAGTGAATGGCTGAGCAAACAAGGATAAAGAGGGATAGTAATGGAGTGAAAGTTATTGCTGTAGCATACCTACAGGTGATAATGGGTATGTCCCATTCACATAAATACAGTAGTAAATACTGTATGTTGGTCTGTAATTGGATATTCATTGTGGAATTCACTTGACTCATTTCTAGTAGTTGATTACTACTTCTACACACTGCTGGCAAATCTTATATGTGGTGTTCTTGTGCTAAGTATTATCATTCATTATCAACCTTCTTTGATTATTCTATTTTGTAACCTTCCCTAGGTTACAACAGTTATTAAGAGACAAAAACAAAGTTGTGGAGAGCCATGATTGCCAAAAAAAAAAAAAAAATGAAAAAAAAATAATGGAGTGTCAAAATGACGTTTTTTTCTGCCTTGACACCATTATTAGTTAAACTCTCTTCACTCCCTCAGCAATGTTTATCGTTTTAAAAAGCGATGATTAGAATTTTAATAAAACTTAAACATTTGAAATTTAATTTATACATTTTCTTTGTTCTTGAGAATTGAAAACAAAAATAATAAAACAATGTTTATTAGAATGTTTATTGAAATGGTTGGCAAAAACATCAGCCAAGTGCCAATTCATTCAAACCTTATAAACTGGTAAATAATAAAAATAATAAAGATTTCCTTATAGTTGGTTAACATAATAATTTACTAAATCTTTATAATCTTACTTATTATAAAACGCAGATTGTGTGTGTGTGTCTGTACGTTTATATATTGGATCGAATTTCCTACATTTTTCAACCGATTTCAATAAAACTTTACAGGACTACGTAAAATTACCTTGTGGTGATTCTGACAGTGCCAAAAATTGCAAAAACAATTGTTTTTGCATGAAATCGATTTGAAAACACGATAAAACACGATTCTGCTGCCAGAATGAAAGGGGGACAACTCATATTTGAGATTCAGGGGTTGTTGAGAAAAAAAAGAACAGCAGCCAGATGGTGGCAGTGACAGATCTGAACACTAATATACACCACATGCACACACTGTACCTGAAGTGTGTCTTGCCTTCAGTTTACAATGCATCCCATTTATTAACAATTATTATGGGAAGATACTAACTTGACATGCAATACTAGTAACAAGAAAATCCAAATGTTCACTATACATTTGGTCGGGGGAAGGCGTTAGGGTTGTGTTTTGGTATGCAAGGGGGCAGTAACTCAAAGAGAACCACCTTAGCTATATAAAAAAAAAAAAAAAAAAAAACAGAAAAAGGTGTTTTATCTTGAGTGACTACACCATTTAGAATCATGAAGTGTTCACAATAAACAAATTCAAAATTTATCTTTTCAATTCTAAAACAAATCATGTCAACTACATAAATAAGCAAGCATTTAAAATTGTCCAACTCACCATTTCCAGATTTTCACAACATCATCAACACTTCCAGTTACAATGCTTTCAACACCATCATTTTCATTTCGGCCCCAAGCACAACTCCAGATACTGTCATCATGGGCTGTCAAGAAAAATTTCAGTATTAATATTAACCTCCTTTTATTATTGTAGCTATTATAATAATTAATACTTTGGTTATATTAAAATGGGAAAATTATATATAACAGTATAAATAGACTTTTCAAGTTAGTACAAACTTTTAATATTGTATTGATTTTCTAAGCGAGGCTTAGATGTGGCATATGGCCAAAACTATGGGGCACCCAGTGAGAATCGAACTCACTATTCAGTTGTAACAAGACCAGCTTGCTAACCATTACACCATGCCGAGGCACCCAACTTTTAATATTGTATTTCCCACAGTATAACATGTAACATTACATTTGACAGGAATATTGTTTCATTCACACTTATATATATATATATATATATATATATATATATATATATATCATTAGCGACTGCAGAGTGGTCAAGCTTGTCCTGAGTGAATCAACATTCAACTATATCTATTTCAAAGCAACAAAAACCTTTCATAGTGCATCATTTTCATTCTTGACTTCAGCTGGATTCAAAATTAATTGTTTTAACTCTGTACCTCAAAATATTGACTGAAATACATTTTGTCAACATTGTTCATAATAAAGAAAGAAAGAAAAAAACAAAGAATGAAAGTAAGTAAAAAAAGAATTAAATAAAATTAATGTGACTAGGTCAGGCTGCACAGATTTGAGCCTTTTCAAATTGGAAACATACTTAATAAGTAATGTATTTCTTGCTTTAATTTATAAATAATCTTTCAAAAATCTCTATTGACTTGCAAAGAACACATTTTTATTTCAACTTGTTGTTTTTAAGTGTTCATTTTAAATAATTTATTCTGTACAGTATAAGGTTTTTTACTAGAATATATCAATTGAAAACTTGGGCAAATGAAATTTAGTCCGACCTAAAGTCGGCGAAAATCAAAGAAAGTGGCAGCCTTAAATCATTGACTGGAGGATTGGAGTGAGGAGTGTGACTAGGGTAGTTTTGAGGAAACATGTTATCAGTCAGCAGTAGTGATCATACTCATACAATAAATTAAACTAAAAATTCACAAAGAGATAGATAAACACAATAATGCATACACATATATACAAACACACACTCAAGATAGATACATACATACATTATTTTTTCTTACAGGTTAGGAAAATTTTTTTTAAAAATGTTTATTTTTATAGAATTATTACAATTAATATTAAAAATACCAAAATGTGTATTTTTTTAATTTCATACAGAGATTTTTAAAAATGATATATTTTAGTTAGAGTAAAGTAATTGCCTAATAAACGAAAGTGAGTAAATGTTGAATTTTTATTTTTTTTTAATGTAAGTATTATTTATTTCATATATTTAAAATGTCTTGGGTTTTTTTAATTTTTATGGTCATATATATTGACTTGGGAAAAATAGCTTGTTTTAAAAAAGTTTCAAATTCAAAGAAAACAGTTAACTCAAGATCATTAAACATTTAAAATAAATAAATAAATATATGATTTTTCAAAATTAAAGAATAAATAATGATTACATTAAAATATAAATAATAAATAAAAATTCACAACAACATTTACTCACTTTTGCTTATTAGGCAATGAATTATATCACCTAGTGCATTCCATATTTTATCTTTCTTTACCCAGTTGGCTTTAAAACTTTAACTCTTCTTTCCCCAGGTATGGATAAATAGGACAGACTGGGTTCTATAGCCTTGGGTGGCAACTAGTCTAGAAGGAAAACTCTGAATTCAAAACTGTATATAGCCCTGGTGAAGCACATACTAGGTCGCTGAGGAAAGGATCATTGGCATTGATCCGATGATCCCAATTATGGCTGACTCCCTTTACTTCTGTTTATAAATATAAGTTGCAAAATAAAATTTCCACATTTAGTGAAAATTTTCCTTTTGTCTTTATTGTCTTTACAGGTATATTTCATTTATATCTGTATTATATATGTGTGTGTGTGTGTGTGTGTGTGTGCGTAAAATTTCAGACATAAATAAAAGTATATCTGTTTAAGGACAACATGAATAGAGATATAATTTTCCTTTTGTTTTTATTCATATATTTCATTCTGTTGTCATTAGGAGAATAGTGTGTCAAACAAGAATGTTTAGGTGTAAGCCTTGTACCTAAATCTAAATATAGAGGCATAAAACAGTAATTTTTGAAGGGAAAAAAAAAGTGCCTCATCTGGCAGGAAATATGGTGTTTATTAGAAAATATACTTCCTTTGTAAGAACTGCTTTTAAAATGATAGTCACATGACACTTCACTGTTAAATCTAGACAAGAAGAGTAAGAGAGAATGTGTGGGATTAACCCACTATGTCTGTCATAGGACTTCTCTTAAAGCCTGCTAGGTGGCATCGTATAAATAGTATAAAAAGAAAATGTTGTTGTGACAAAAGACGTATCTCGATTCTCCCTCTGAGGAGAATTCTTAGTCCTTGGGCAAACCAACATTTTAGTTGGTTGGTTGTTCTTGTTTAGTGGCATGTCAAAATCACTATGGGTTACTTAATGCCAAAATCTAAATATTTTTCATATAAAATGATTATAAATGATTATAACAAACTCAACTGGAACTGGAACTCAGTTCTCTGATTAACAATTCTAAGCCATTATCTATTACACCACCCACACATCCAAGCTTGCAGCACTTGGTATTCCCAGATGTTTTAGTCCCATCCTAACTAAGTGGCACATCACACACACTATTCAGAAAAAAACAAAAACAAAAAAGCTCTTGTAACCACAATAACATCTTTACTACAGCTAATTACATAAATATATATTTTTCTCCCCCCACCTCCAATCAATTCCCCCCAAGCAAGGCAATAATGCTACCAAGATACAAGCAGTTACTGGGAATGAAAGAGAATGAGAAAACTTAAGCGGGAACTGGAAACCCAATCTTAAACAGGAAACAAGGTATCTACTCCTGTTCAAAAGACTGAAGAGGAGTGTGAACTGGACAATAGGCAAACCTATCTACTCCTATTGGGCTATGTGACATCTAATTCTGTATATAAATATATATAAAAGCCAGGTATTTATTTTGAAAATTTTCAACTAAATGTTGTTACAATTGGTAACCCCTTTCCATTCTCAAGATAGATACACAGTTTTTTTTTCTTTAACCAAGCATTTTTCCCTTATCATATTTGGCATTATTTGTAGTTTCTTCTTTCCAATGCAGGTGGAGTCAGGTACTTTCTGGAGCGGTATAAGGAGCTGAGCATTTTTCAGTATCTTTAGCATTGGATTGTATATAGGACTTCTATTTGAAGATTGGAGTGAACATGAGATGCTCAAAACAAGAAGTCTGGTGCAACTCCTAGTCATGACCAATGAGAATTCAGAGTCAGCTTAATGATGATGAAATGGTACTAGCTTGGTTTTGGAGGTATTGAATGACAAGCTAATTCCCCACCTGTTCCCCAAGCTGTTAGAGCTAAGGTCAGATGAGAGATCAACTGTAAGGCTCTGGTCATTTATTAGGTGGTTGTATATATTTGTTCATTTTCTTCTGATGTCCTGTGAATGATCTGGAAGAATAATCTTTCATGGCATATTTTGCTTCTTACTCTGGTCATCTTGTAAAACTGTTGTCTAACATTATAGAAATGTTATTTCAGATTAGACACCCCTTTTAAATGGAATGCTAAATAGACAAGAATGACTATATTCAACATCTTTTTGCTTTTAATCAAGGTCACAAGGCTGCAAAAACTGCTAGAGACATTTGTGCTGTGTTCGGAGAGGACTTCATTACAGACAGAATGGTACAGAAATGGTTTATAAGGAGGGAAAATTCAAACTCATTCACTCTCCATGTTCTGGCAGAGCTGTTCAGTTTGAGAAGAACAAATTGCAATGATAATTAAAGAAGAACTGTACCAGACCACTTTGGAATTCGCTCAGAAGATTGCAAATTCTTCGGTTACTGTTGCTCATCATTACTCAATGAGTAAGGTCCAGAAACACAGTGCATGGGTGCTACATGCATTGAGTGAGAGCAACAAATTCCAGTCCTCCTCCATTGCTGCTGACATACTCACAGATATAAAGAAAGAGCTTGTTTGTCGCACATATCCCCCCCATCATATTCTCCTGCTTTAGACCCTTCAGACTACCACCTTTTTCAGATGCTTTCTAACAATTTGAGAGGTGTTTCATTCAACAACAATATCGAACTTAAAACATGGCTTGAAGTTAAAAGTGATTTCTATCATTGAGGTATTGAACAGTTAGTGGATCATTGGAAGGAAGTCATAAACAATGAATATATTGTTGAATGATTCATCAGAACTATTAATAAATAATAAGTATTAAACTAAATTTATAAGAATTTAATTTGAGAACCAAATCATTCAGGGTCAAATCCACATGGCTCTGACCATCAGACACAATTGTTTTTCAAATTTGGTACACTTATAGAGCTTCATGATAGAAATTGAATGGTACTCATTTTATATCTCTAGGTCAAAGGATTCCTCAGATATGACCCTTGCCGAAAAGGGTGAATTTTGGAAAATAGTCACAAAGTTTAAATATCAATATCTCAGTTGTTTTTTCACTCACAAAACTAAATTATATACCATTTTAAAGTACTTGGATTGATCTAAAAGGTGATCTACTTATTATTTTGTTTGAAAAGTCAAGTAAGATAATTTAACCTTGGCCTTAACATTTAGCCTTTAATTTCTCAAAAAGTGTATCTTTAATTATTTTTTTTAAATTTGACAACAAATTTTTCTGCTTTATGGCAAGATATATACAAAATTTTATGGTGAACTTTTGACTGTGGCCTGAGTTACAAAGGTTTTACTGAGTTAGGCCAAATTCAAAATGGTGGCTTTGGGTATTTGCCACTATATGCTAACATTTTCTTATCTCCCAATATGGTGAAGTTGTATATCTTTAGAAAGCTCTTTGGATGCTGATTAATATTCACATAAGAACTATGATAATAAAATCAACAGAATTTGTGTTATTTGTGGTTAAATGTTGACTAATTTGGTGGAAAGTAAATAACCTTATTTTTGGTTATGTTTACATTTTTATTATACAACAGATTTTATATGAAAAAATGACATAATAAAAATATGCAACAAATGTTAATGGTTAACAAATTTTTGTTACATATGATACAGTATGCTAAATACACAAAAACAATCAAATTTTTAGTATTTTTATATATATTTAAAAAATTAAGTTTTGATCTGAAAAGTGATACACTAAAATGAATATTTAAAAAAAAAGATTCCTAACATTTACAAAGAGATTTACAAGAAAATCTATTGCTGAATAAAATTAACAGCATTACCTGAGTTTTCTGAATGTACTTCAACATCAGCTGAAGACCAGCCACAGCCTTCTAGCATTTTTGTAGATATTGAAAATTAATTGCAACTTTTTAACGAGTCACTGTCAATGATTGGTGAATCGCCAATCAAGCATCAAAAACTTGAAAAACAAATCAGTTATGAGGAATAAAAAGTAGGACAATTTTATTCTAATAAGAAAAGTTATTTGATGGAATCGTGAAGTCATTTATTGTAGATTTTGCTGAGAATTATCCATTTATTTTGTAGGATGCTGCATGAGGCTTCCACTGGAATAATTCTCTAGTCATATTACAGAAATGACAAAGAGCCGGAGCATATTAATATTGTAATTATATCAGATAGTCTCAAGCATGGCACTAGCTGTCCATTTGTTCCAAAGAAAACTTATAGAAATACTGAAAAAAAAAATCTTAATTTTAAAATAAAAAATTTATTTCTCTTCACATTATAAAAATCTATCAATTTGTGCAACCATAAGTCTGACTTTGGTATTGATGCAGAGTGGCACATTTTTGCTACATCTCATGGGAAAGGATCATGTGATGGGTTAGGTGATACTATTAAGAGATTAGTAGCAAAAGAAAGCCTGCAGTGACCCTATAATGAACAAATAATGACACCAAGACAGTCATTTCATTATGCAAGAAAAAATATTTCAGGCAAAAATATTTTGTATTCCTCAACAAATGAATGGACAAATGAAGCAGAAATCTTAGAAAATATATAAAAAAATGCCTCAGCAATTACAAGAACACAAAAACTACATAGTTTTATTCTTGTGTCTCAGGAAGAAGTAGAAATAAAAACTTAGGATGAAAAAGTAGTTAAAATTATAAAACAGGACAATATAGAACTTGAAAATATTAAGGGATTTGTTACAGAAATCTATAATAGGAATTAGTGGTTAGGATGTCTGCTTGAAAAATATCCTGATAATGAAGATGTAAAATTGACTTTTTTTTTTTTCTTTTTACAACTGAAGAGCTCTTCTTCATCTTTTTGTTATTTATTACATCCAGATATATTAATCTTAAATTATACTGAGATTTGTTGAGGAATACAAAATATTTTTGCTTGAAATATTTTTTGTTGCATAATGAAATAACTGTCTTGGTGTCATTATTTGTAGTCAATCCAATAACGGACACCAGAAGAACTTATAAACTTTTGAAAATTGAGATGGGAAAAGCTTCAAATATTTTAGGAAAGAGACCCTTGTTTCCAAACTTTTGATTCTTATCATAGATAAGAATATATTTTCTGACAAATAAAAGGGCTGAAAAACTATAATTTTGAAGGGAAAAGATATTTCTGAGCCTTCTCATCTTGATAAATACTGAGAATATGCGGCTCTTTGGCAGTGATATTTGACAGCATCTGTGAAAATAACATCAAGTCAATGACAGTAACACCCGTCATCTTCAGAACCTGTTTCAAGAAAGAAATCTACATACTGGGCTCTAAAGACAGAATATCAGCCCTCTACTAAAACTACTCAAGATCGGCTTCCTAGGATCTTGAAATTTGTTTTGTCGACATTTGAACTCACTCAACTACAAACTATTCATCCAATTGTTTTCCCCCCTAAACAAGAGCTCTGAAGAAATCTCATGTGAGTGTTAAGAACAATTTACTTTTAGGTGCTCAGAGAAATATTTTTGAGCAAGCCTTTTTACATGAACACTTTTTCTTCTTTTAAATTAAAGGAATTTTCTTCTCCTTTTTTTTTTCTCATATTTTGTATATATATATATATTCCTTTACTTTTTATTTTTGTGTATGTAAATAAACATTTTCTTCTTCTATTGTTACATCCTGAGCAAGAGTTTGAGTCTTTACTCTTCCACCTAAAAGAGAGAATTGTCTATTTTAATCTTTCAAGCTGTGGTTGCTTTTATCGGTTCTGTCACCTTTAACCATAACCCTTTCATGTGGGGAAAACTGGGACAAATTAAATTACACTTCACTGTTAAATTTCGATAAGAGTAAAAATAGATATCTTTCTCCTGAGATTTCTCTTTAACCAAGCTTATACACTTATTTACTAAGTCTAATAAGGCCACTATTATAACGCACACAGTGAGGATCAAACTCACTACTCAGTCATAATTGACCTAGTGAGACAAACTTGTTAACCATTACACCATGTCAAAGTGACTTTATCCACTTATTGTATTTGATGTCATAGTGTTTTCTTTCTGTGCATCTAAAAGTGATGAATCTGGCTTCTGTTTTTGCATTAATTTCTACACACTTTGTTGTTTCTTTTAAAAATAAATTTTAGATTTTGTCTGAAAATTAAAATCAATTTCTTTCTTGCCTTCTCACTCTCAGCTTCTAATTTCAGTCTTATTTCTTAAATGGGAAATGGTAATATTAACCGTTTCCCTACAAGGAAACAATTGTCATTCATTGACTGAGCAGCCAGTACTGCTTTTGGTTGAAATTTATAAAATCTTTCTCTTAAAACAATTTTCCAGGAAAATAGGTTACTCAAGTTCAGTAGCTGTTATCACTTTTTCTTCCTAACCTTTTATATGAAGTACCGTGGAATGCCAACATCTTGATTATGCCATTATTTTCTCTTCAAGTTATATATGTCATCCATTTTAGTTGTTGGTAGATCTCAAGTGATGTTGTTTGTTATTTGTTAAGAGGCAAACAAAAGAAAATAAACAGTAGAAGAGAAAATAGATTTGATTAATTGCTATGGAATTATATACAAATATGCAATGTTCATATAAACAGTAATTGCTTACCTTGTTCATTCTTCAAAATAATGGAATACTGAAATAGAAAACAAAAATTGTGAGCACTTAAGAAAATACGTGTAAAAGGGAGATAACTGCAAGATTTTTGTGTAACTCATAAAGTACTTAAACATAGTTTAGTCTTAGTATGAATGAGGCCATAAGTACATGGAATTTAGTGGTGAAGTAATTCATTATTAATAACTGCTAATCATTTAGCTATGACAAGACACCCACCTCACATGAGTTAGTGAATTTATACATTTTTTTTGTTCTTGAGAATTTACAACAAAAATATTAATCCATATTTAATTATTAGATTGTTTATTTACAAGAATAATTTTATATTTACAACATTCTAAAAGCAAATACAATTGTATTAAAACTAATGCAATCTTTATTATTTACCATTTTATAAAGTTCAAATTGATTGGCAATTAGCTGATGTTTTGCCAACCATTCCAATAAATAATATAATAGTCCATCCTTCAAATCTCTAAATCAACCATTCATCCTTGCATGGAGTACTGCTGCCATATAAGGTCTGGAGCCCCTGCTGTTTGTCTCAAGGTCCTTGACAAAATCCTGAGATGGATATGCAATGTGATTAGTCCTGATCTGGCATCTCGTCTACAGTCACTTTCTCACAGACGTGTCGTCACTTCCCTGTGTCTTTTCTACAAATACTTTTATGGTAACTGCTCTGATGAGCTACTTTCACTGGTTCCCAAACTGCATGAATTTAAATGTGCTACTAGGTTGGCATCTCAGTCCCACCCTTTCACTGTTGAAACTGTTAAATGCAGCCATCTCTTCTACTCCAATAGCTTTATGCCTCGCACTTCCTGTCTATGGAATTCCCTTCCTCTTACTTGCTTCCTTGATAGCTATAATCTTCAATTATTCAAATGCAATGTCAATCAACATCTTCTGATGCCTTGACCTAATTCCCTGTCCTTTCTCTTCATCTTTCCTCTATTACACCTCTTTACTCTTGCTCCCACACTCTGTAACCCCTTGTGCGCTAGTGGCACTCCTGCCTTGCTTGGGGTGAAATGCATAAAAAAAAAAATCTAAAGAACAAAGAAAATGTATAAATTCATTTTCATATGTTTAGGTTTCACTGCAATTCTAGTTAATGCTTTTGAAAGCAAACATTGCTGAGGAGAGAAGGTATTTAAAATAAGAGCAGTGTCAATGGAAAAACCGTTCTTTTCACACTGTATTTTTTTGCAGGCACGAAGGCCCAAGTTTGTTGAAATTTCCATTGTTTTTTTGTTTTTTAGTTATGAAACTTGCAATGAACTTATTTATTCATTAAATATTGATATATCAGAAAATTCACATAGGAAATCATGAAATTTTCATGTGTACTACTAGTATAAAATATTGTAACCAAAGGAATTACAATAAATCTGAGTATGTGTTGTAACCTAGGAAAAGGTTACTGAATAAGAATAACAAAAACAAAGGTTGGACATGGAACAACATACAAAATTTGCCAGTGGCGTGTAGTAAGTATTCAACTGCTAGGAGTTAAATTGATTCACTAACCTTCCCATGCAGTCAGATGTGGCACAAGGCCGAATTTAATGTGGGATGAAGCAAGCCCGTAGCCTTGGGCAAAAATTCCCTGTATATAAGAGGTTGGGTAGCTGTCTACAATCCCCAGACGAGACTCTGCTCTTTGACATAACCTCGTCTGGGTTCCTTTCTGCCTCGAAGCAGAGTGACAAGCACACTATTGAAGACCACAGTGAAGATATTCACCTACTGCCCCACATGGATGCGGCACAAGGCCAAGTTTATTGTGGGGTATCCAAGCCCATAGGCCCGGTCAAAAATTCCCCGTACAAATGGGATTAGGTAGCTGCCTACCTACCCCAGACAAGACTCTGCCCTTCAGCATAGCCTCGTCTGGGTTCCTCTCTACCCGGAGGCCATGAGTTTGACCAGCACACTGTGGAAAATCACAGTAAAGATATTCACTAACCACCCCACTCAGTCTGATGTGGCACAAGGCCGAGTTTATTGTAGGGTATCCGAGCCCGTATGCTCGGGCAAAAATTCCCTGTAGACTCTGTAAAAAATGGGGTCGGGTAGCTGACTATCAACCCAGACGAGACTCTGCCCTTTGACATAGCCTCATTTGGGTTCCTCTCTGCCCAGAGGCAGAGAGTTTGATAAGCACACTGTGGAAGACCACAGTGAATCCAACATACAGTATATTCCACTGTATTTATAAGGAATGGGACATACCCATTATAGTCCATAGGTACTGTATAACACCCACCTTTTTGGATTTACTCTGTACAGAGTCAATATTTTTTTCTTTTTGGGTTGATTTTTATCCATTCTGTATCCTTTCTTCTTCTCTTACTACGCCTTTTTCAGACTTCTATCTCAGGGATGGGCACATCGAATTTGTATCAAAAAGAACCTCCGTAGGTTCAACCCCGTCTGGAGTATTGTTCTCTTCAATTGAACACCTAATTTTTATTTGATTATAGTACCTTTTGTGCACCCTTTCTGGTCCTTTGACTAGATACACAATCCTACCGATTATTCAGATGACAGTTCGAACTTCTTAATATGTTTTATTTGTCTGATACATCTGGTAAAAAAACCTTTTGACCAATTTTGTAAAATTTCTTTCAAACTTTTTGTACCACATCACCATGTTTGTTCTTATTGGACTTCACCTTGTCAAAAACTGATTGTATTTTTTGTGCAAACATAATTTCTGCTGGAGTCATGGCTGACAGTGCATCTCTATTTGGTATAAGCTTATACACTTGTAAAAATTGCTGTAATGCTGCATCTGTGGATCCACCATTGTCCTTTTTTAGAGCCCTTTTGAAGTTCTGCCTGGCTGTTGCTTCTAGGATGGTGAGAGGCAATTGTTATGTGCTCTACCACAAACATTTTGCAAAATTCCTTGAATTCTTTCAATGTAAATTGAATGCCGTTATCTGGTACTCTGAACCTCGTGAACAGTTCATGTAGAAACTGCGTGTTTGGTTTCTTACATCTGAATATCTCTGGCCACTTGGAAAAACTGTCTACAACAATCAAATAATATCCATTAAGTGAACCAGCAAAGTCAGTATGCAGATGTGGCCATGGTTTCTGGCCATTTATTGAACTTTATTGATAGTGCTTTAGCTGCCTATTGTTTTTGTCCATGCAGGACTTTACCAAACATTCAATGTCTCTATCCATGCTACGCCAGTATACATAACTTCTCATCAAGCTTTCAGGATTCTCTTTTGTAGTGCCAAAGGTACCACTACTCTTTCGCTGTACATGAGAATGTCATCACACATTGAATATACCTCGAATTCTGCTTTACTCCTGCCTTTAAATTTTTTCTTCATTTCAATAATAAACTTGTCATCCAGCACTTTACTTTTTATTTTTTCCAACATCACAGGTAGTTCCTGTACAGTATTGCATAAAACATTTTTTATTTCTCCTTCCGATTGTAGAGAGGCAATAACCATGTTTTCCAAAGGTTCATTATTTCTTGGAATAAGTCTGGAGAATATGTCCATGTGACTTAATTTACACAATGACAAGAATTCCATTATAAAGCTGTAATTTAGTAAAATGGTTCCCCATCGTTGTAACCTATTAGCTATATGAGTCGGTAGTCATTTTTTGGACCCATAAATAGCTAGCAATGGTCTGTGATCTGTTTGTAAAGTAAACCTTTTGCCATGAATGAAGCTATGAAATTTTTTCAGGGCAAAGACAATCCCTAAGCTTTCCTTTTCTATCATGGAGTAATTTTTTTTGGTTGGAAGAAGCATCCTGGATGCATGTGCAATCAGTCTAATCAAGCTATCTTCTAGTTTATGCATAATGCAGGCTCTTATACTGTACGCATTGCTTACTATGATTATTTTTTTTGGATTGTAGTGTGTCAAAAACAAGTTTGATGTTAGCATTTCTTTAATTTTCTCAAATGTTTCCTGGCACTCTGTCATTCAAACTCATTTACTGACTTTCAATAGCTCATTTAACAGAGCTTGGAAACGGTGAATATTTTGTACATGTACATTATAATAACTTGCTAAACCCAGGAAAATTTGTAGGGAACTGATATTTTCAGGAGTAGGCATGTCTTTTATAGCACTGGGTCATGCTGAATCTGGTCTCCTGCCCTTCTTGTCAATTATTTGACCTAAATATTTAATTTTGTCTATAAAGAATTCACACTTTTCATCTTTCAGCTTGAATCCATAGTCCTGAAGTCTTCTGAAAACTTCAAAAACATTTTTCTTGTGTTCTTCTGGGTTTTCACTTTTTAGCAAAATATCATCAAGATAAGTGACTGCAAAGTCCACTCAGTTTTGTGTCCATTACTTGCTGAAAAATAGCGCAAGCAACCTTTATGCTGAAAGGCAAATGATTGAATTTATACATTCCTCAATGTGTATTTATGGTCAGTAATTCGTTGTCCACTTGAATCTGAAGATACCTGTCACTTAGGTCAATTTTGGAAAATATCGGACCCCCCACTAAGCTGAGCAAAAACTTCTTCCAGCCTTGGAAGTAGGTAATGATAACTTTTGAGGGCACTGTTTAAGCCCGTGGTAAAATCCTCACATATATCTCTTTCGACTTTTTCTTTATAAATACAGTCAGTGAAGCCCAATTGCTATATTCGAACTTTGATAAAACACCTATTTTTTTTCAAGTCTATCAAGCTCAGCATCAATTTGTTTTAATGATGCAAATGGTACATTACTTTTCTTTTTGAAAACTGGTTGTACATTTTTTTTTTCTGCTCAAATTTAGTTTTCATTTTCTTTCACTTGCCTAACCCACCAGAAATACCTCTGGGAATTTAGTTTTTAATTCTTCTTTTAAACTTTCTGCTTCATTGGTAAACCCTTTAACTTTTTGGCAGAACGAATTGATTGGACTGTTCCATAAATTCAACTGCTCCATCCAGTCCGTTCCAAAAATGTTATTCGTATTTTTCATGAGAAACAGTCTTAACTTCAAGGTTTTATTGTTTAACATTACATT